ACCAACAATCAGATACTTGATAGACTATGCCATTTTGTAGTCTCGTCGCCTCTATACATTCTGCAGCTTAAACCCACTTCAGTTAATATTACACAATAGGATAGACGCTGACTTGGCATACATGTAGATGAAGGTTCACAACCTCATCACCTGACTTCTTCAACTCTTCTGCGTAGAAATATACACCTGACGTGGAAGCTGCTAAGTAATGGTTCCTCGCAACGTGGCCTACGATACGAAGTTAATCGTAGTCAAACATCTGAAACCATCTTATGTTCCCTGCCTTCAGCGGCTATTCTTCACAGGCATATAGTAGAAGAGGGCGGGAAACTTCAACACAACACACTTGGTCCTTAATAAGTAGTGAATCAGACACGCCTGCGTGATAAAAAATGGCATAGGTTGGCGGAAGCTAAGTGCGCCTTTTCCATGAGTACAAGAATTTGATCGATCACTAACCCATACCCACCACAGTTGATCCGACTTCCCAGGTTAGGTCAGCTGACACATCAGGTGGTCAACACACTTCCTGTTGTTAGATGAGGCGCCAATCCATGCCGCTCCCGATGCAACAATTTGCGTTTGAATGGTGAGAAACGTATCTCTACCGTTTTCAAAATCCCACTTAAGGTGGTCAGAAAACTTTGCATCTTATTAGTATCTTCACTTTCAAATACTTTGTCATCCTAATGATCTATTCTTGCTGTACTACTAGGACTCTTTTTTCATTTCAGTTTTGAATACCATTTCACTGCTCACTGCAACAGCAGTTTTGTGTTGTTCAACAAAACAGTTATTTTTCAGAATCTTACCTACTCGTCATCAGAGGAGAGGTGTAGGCGAGATCCACACTAGAAAGTCGCACTCATTTTCTTGTTCTATATAGATCTACCATCTGCGGTAAAATTTTTCAAAGGTACGGACCAAATTCAAGTAAATCTATTCCTAAAAAGATCATGTTTAGGTGGCATCAACTGCATAATTTTTGTCGAATATTGTGTAAATAGTCTTCATAAATTCCATACTTTCATGCGTCATTTTTGAAATTGTTTTTTTAGGCATTTCAAAGTACTAAAGAAGAAGTTGCGCCGGATATGATTCTTCTATATCTAAATGTATTATGCTATTTAACACCATTTCTTCACGCTTGGTTATTATTATCACTAATCAAAAAGACAGAATCGAATGAAAGTTTATGGACAGCTATGCAGAATTTAATTCATGCTTATCATAATTCTGTTGCCGAATTCGAGCATCTTTTACAAGGGAATTTTATCGTTAAAGGTTGGTAATTTATCTTTCATCTTATTTCCCCCTCCCCTTGATATTCATATTTACTACATCAGCAAGTCTTCATTCATAACATTCTGCTTTAAAATGAGCACCGACTAGAGAACCATTAAAAATCAAGCATCCCTAAGCAACCAGAGTTCATGTGCAATCCACCACTTTTCAACTGCTATATCGGAATGCAGTGGTTCAGGTTTTTAGATCCTCCCAATTTGTAGAATAGCTCAATCATTATCCAATGTCACCCGTGAGTAACTATCATCATACCCGATTTAGGTGACCATTTGTTATTAAGAACCTAGAATCTTGCTCATCGGCTTTGTGTGATTCCCTAACTAATTTCAATTCATTGTGAATACTTCGAAATAAAGAAATCTACCCGAAACTGTCCTAACTGCTTGCAGTGTACTACAATTATTGTATGCAGGCTGACAACTACCTGTGTGGAGCAGGGTTTGAGTCCTTGACTTCTTGTTTCAACACCAACTAACTTGACCAATGAAACAGCTTTTTATTCAGTAATTTCATGGTAATTTGACTTTTAAAGAAACTTTTTTTGAGGGACTTCAACTCAAGATGACGATGATTGTTTAGCGTTCTCCTTAACTTTGGGATTTGTTCTTGGAAGCTGCGTCACTAGCCTGGGCGACTTCATCAGCACTAACTTCATACAGGGAAACTGTATTACTGGATGATCTGTCCAATTCAATTTACTTTCCATAACTGTATTGTAGTAATTCTGAAATACTTTGAGAACTAGTTTTCTGAGACATATGGAGCTGTTGCTCATTGGTTCAGGGAGATGATTTTCAGCCAATGGGTCACAGGTTAGAGCTCTGCTCCATAAATCGAGATTTGGGAAGCTTGGTAGTATCACTGGCCCTCACAATTTAGGTATGGCTCATTATTTTCTGCATGAATGTGCACATGGCTGCTGAGTGTATTTCAATTAGATTTCGGTTTTTTCCTAGGTATACGCTTTTCTACTTTTTTCCTCTGCAGGTAATAGAACATCCTAGAGCATTTTGGAGCAAGTGGTGGAACATTCATTCACTTAGTTGTTGTTTTGATTATATTATTACCCAGCACATATGTTAGAAGTGATTCAGTATCTAGTTATATATATCTGGGAAATTCTGGTGTCGAAACCAAGTTTAAGTCATAAAGTAGCGTTGAGTGTATCTAGAGGTGTGAAAGTGGTTGACACTTCTTGGCTGCTTGCAGTAGGGAAAGTTACTTCTTCAGGCACCTGAAAGAGAAACTGCATTAATTTTGCGAAAAAATAGACCTCCTTACTTGGTTGTATTGTGTTCTCCGAGCTGGGTTGTTTAATCGTGAAGCTTTCATCGTCTTTCTGGATGACATCATCGGCACTAACTTCAGTATGAAGTGAGCTGTCAATATCATGAAGAGCTGTCAGCTTACTTCATACTAAAGTTAGTGCTGATGATGTCATCCAGAAAGACGATGAAAGCTTCACGATTAAACAACCCAGCTCAGAGAACACAATACAACCAAGATCATCCACCTGAGCTACAAATATTCTCCAGTATTTCAAGACCTCCTTACTAGTTTGAAATAAAAGTCTGATTGCATTAACTCATGGTTCTGAAAGCCCATACCATCATCACCTGAAGACTGAAGATCAAGGATTCTGCTGCTTATAGGGCTGACTTTTTAACCTATTCTTCTGATTAAGAGAGGTAACGTTAGGATGAAATGCTGGTTATTCATGGGGAACGCCTTACTACCCTGTCCAGTCAGCAGTGCGTCTTTGCCTTTGGACGATTATCTGTTTTTTGGTCTCATCACTATTCAGTAGACCTTTTTGGCATGGTTAGACCTTCTTGTGTAGTATTTTACTTTAGATGAAACCGTCTACCACGTCAAGATAAAAGCTGTGCGTCAGGATACATTAATCTTAATAAAGTACTTTAATTCAATAACACATTATAACTGCAGATAATAAGCATATATAGGGAAATGTGCTAGGAAATACAATTTCATTGTGTGACATCTCGTGAGTAGATAAACATCGAGTCGTAACTTCTTATCATTTCTGAATTTTTCCATTCTCTTACCTAAAAAAAAATACTTTTGTTATCAAATAGTCAAATAAAAATATGTTCTGAATGAATGTTCTAAATGAATATTGAAGAAAATAGGACTTATCGGTTGAGAAAAATATAAGACCTGGCACCAAGTATCATAAGTGCTTATAAAACTCTTCATTCACCGACTAACCAAGTGACCTACACTTCTCTGCGTTGTTAACATTAGCAGTCAGTTAGGCTGTGACTATCCATACACAGCGCACGACCTGACCTCCTTAGTCGATGAAAGTTTGCAATCTTAGCGGATTTTTCGCCTCCATTTGACACTTTGTAGCAAGTCTCTGTGTTGCTGATGTGGCTACTTCACCACATGTGGAGAATGTTTCTTGAGCATCAGAGATCTGATACAGCATTACATGTCTTCTGTTATCATATGTTTGACTCTGGTCAACTCATTTAACAAATTCACTCATTAGTTTAAAACCGGCCAATTTCTACCAGATTGTTTGTTCTCGAACTATAGTTACATATTCACGTATTTGTTATGACTTATGCAATCTTAGATACTATGTACAGTAAGGTAGCTGCTCTTTCTTAAAACCTGAAACGATTAACAATCAAAAGTTATTACGGGGAATCTCATCTGATTGTCATAACTTGTTTTACACACTCTACTGTAACTAGTCTAACCTAATAATCGTCGTCTTTCGCCTTTTTTGTGATTAAGACATAACCTGAACAAGTATTTCATAGGCATTTAAATTAAAAACTTCCTTTCGGCTATATCAACAAGTGAAAGTTGTCCATTTTCTCATAAGAAACATTTAGTAGCTTTCACTTCCAGTCAAACCACATTCAGTATGATGACTAACGTGTTTTTTGTCATTGAAAAGTCCAGCTATCAACCACAGGTAACACTAAATTTTCTACCCATCCATCTTGAACTGTCAATATTTGACAGTTGCATTCTTTATTCTGTGTTTATTCTATTGACTATCACAGAACCTGAATTGATGAAATCATCGCCTGTAATTAAGTCAATTGATGCTTCAATACTTCTTGGACAAGATAGTTTTTAATCTGTTAGAAGAAATGATGAAATGCATGTGTCAATTGGAAAAGAGAACAATAACAACAACAGCAATCACTCCTACCGTTGCTACACCACATTCAACTATGAGCATAGAACAATCTTTTTACTGGGAGCACTTATGTCAAGTGGATAAATGGACAGCAAAACAATGGTTTGATAGACATTTACTAACTAAGGTAATCACCTTATTAGAACAATTACCTTATTGTCATGGTGAACGTTGTTCTACAATGAAAGCGTTTCTCGATTTGGATTATGCAAATTGTTCCTTTGATGACGCAATTAAAGTAAGCTTGGAGGTTTATTTTTTTACTTATTTCCTCTTGTTTATCAAACTTGACCGAATTGATCGGTTTCTGTTTGGAGTAATGTGTTCTTTGGACGGATATAACCTCATGTTCTATTATGACGTAATTTTCCTGGTGATGATGGCCAGGATGTGCATCCCCATCCCATTTGAGACTCATCAGCTTGATTTATGTGCGTCCTCGTGATTTATGGTATTCCTGCCGAGACTCGGACTTTGGACTTCATGTCGTATTCAAACACTAGAACAGTATCCACTAGGCTACTGAATAACAGGATTCATCTCTTCTAAAAAAGATGTCATTTTTTATTTACAGATGTTCGTAGTTTCCTGTTTATTATACTGAACCGAATTAATCGGTTTGCGTTGGTTTGTGACCTATTTCAACGGATGTCTTGATATTGCACCAAGTTTCACTATGATGTAAATCGCATCATAATGCACGCATGCCCTGAATTCCAATGCTACTCTCCACCAAACAAATCAAATCATAAGTCTCGAAATATATTATAAATATGTACTTATATCGATTAAACTATCTGATATGGCCTCAGTTTACAGACTTATTATTGCAGTTTTCAGATAACTTTCTTTTAGATAGGATTGAAACTAGTGGTCTCCTGGTTACAGCTTTCAAACACTCCATCTTCAAGTAAGCCAAGTGTTGAGCAGTGGATTAATAGTCAACTTTCTGGATTTAGTAGATTGCTTACTTTCGATGTGACTCTTATTCTAAGTTGAAATCGGTTGAAGATTTACTGAAACTGATGACTTTTGTGGCAACTATTTCTCCCTACTTGAAGTGAGTGTTGGTTTGAGGCAATCACCAGAAAACCCTGGATCGGCATTTTACACGTGCAGGCAATTGTCTAGAAAGACTTATGTGCGTCAGCAAGTGTAGGAGTTAAAGACGTTACCACCGAGCTATTCAGGCATTCAATAGCCTCCTGTAGGATTGGGTTAGATGCATTGATCATTTAGTGGGCAGTAATTAATACCATATTGTCTAGTGCATTGCTTGTTGTCAATTGACTATAATCCCAGATTAAATCAATGTAAGTATACTGCTATAGATAGCTGCCTTACTTGATGATTGAAATAGGAACTTGATTTATAAAATTCCATCAGCGCTTAGAGGTAGACAAGATGACATTGTTTGTTCTCAGGTGGTCGTTTGATAATTAATTATTTATTCGAAGTTTGAGAGCACTCAAAACTTCACAGTTCTGAATTTTTCTTTTAGATTATCGGTTTTTATAACTGGGGAAAAACTAGTGGAGTTTCATGCTTTTAAGTTTTCGATGATGCTTCAAGCGACTGCTATGTGTCATAAGGTTGTCGATCAAAAATGTTTTTTTCTTTCAGGTTCGTTCCCGAAGTTATTCACAATGATGTTAGGCCTGTCTTTCGGTTTACGCTTGCCTTCTCTTTATATTCTAAGTAAAATAATCATGTTTTTCACGTAACATTATCACCAGTTGATTTTGTATACAACGGAATATATTAAGTGAGGAATCACTCTTTTCATTGATGTCGTTCTCAAACTACACAGTTGAATAAAAAAATGTTATATTCATATGGCAGTAATAGAAGTGGGGTTTTTTTAAGGATTTTATAAGGAAATCCAGTTTTCATTATAACTCAGGAGATCGGAAAAGGAATTACGTAGTGTTTAAAGTGATAATGAGAAGAAGACTTATCAAGATCAAAGCAATATTCAGTTAAATGATGCGATATGGTTAAAGGGCCTGGTGAATGTAATAAGAAATCAGAATCATAGGGGTTAGAAGAATGTAATATGAGAGAAAGCATAATATACTACTGCGATTTGGCGTGTAAAAGAAAAGACTTTGAGAGTAAGATGTTCTTCTTTTGAATGCAGAGTTCGGGCTTCAAAATATTAATTTCCATAGCTTTTGCAGTTTGAAGAAGTTTCAGGCGTAGACCTCTTTCGAAGTTTGCACAAACTCTCTGGATGACGCTAAATTTTTTTTCTGCAATCTCTGGGTGGTTATTATCTATCAAATGTTCTAAAATAGAGCTGTGAGGTGCTCTTCTTTCTTCTTTGTGGAACCATGCTGGTATGTGTTCAAAGATGCGTTTGGAAAGCAAACGCTGAACACGGGTAATATACCTTACTCCACAGGAGCAGGTGAACCGATAAACGCACATCAGGGTAGTCAAAAGGCCAACTTAACCTTTACGCATAATCGAAGCATTGGGTAAGTAGAGAAAGTTAGTCTGAGTTTAACAGCACAGAAAGTTTTTCTCAGTAAGTATGTTTAACGGTTTCTGAATATATATCTACCGTTACGTCTCCGTTGAACTGTAAATTCACGAATGAAGACTTCTTGGGAACCATGGAAGTAGAATAATTGTCTGCTTTCAGTTTCATAGATTTAACAATGAAATTATACGAATCATGATTATGAATCAGAACATTTTTAAGGAAATTAAGTGCATCTTGCAAAGTTTCAGGTCTTCAGCTAGTGTGAATTCCATAGCACATAGAGAGAATCAGATTTCGTTTGGTGTCTACAGTTGTCCGTTCCACCTGAGTTTTCTGTGGTGAGTGAGTGATAAATTGTCGTCTTTTTAGCTGTTCATCTAAAAAGGATATCTTAGAATGAATTTCCTTCTCTAATGTGAATTGAATTGAAGGGTGACAGTTGTTAACTTGACATAGGATATCTTCTAGCGTATTCCTATCTTTGGAGATGATGAAGGTATCATCTACGTATCGCTTATGAAGTTCGAATCGGTTGATCATTCTGCTTAATTGCGTTTTATTACTCCGGCATAAATAAGTTCGTCAGCAACGGCCCAATAGCTATCGGGATAAAGTGATTATCGTCATTATTGTTAGTATTATTATTATTGACAAAATCAACAGTACCATGAAGTGTATGAAAAGAAACTTGCCTTCTTATGGGTCATAAGATTTTGACTAACCATCGGACAATACGATGATAAGGTGATCCTGTCACATCGAGAATAGTACGTAGAGGTGTGCTTTCTTTGTGCACCTTTGGGATATTTGACTCGAATGATCTTAGGGATTCTAATAATCCAGAATCTATGAAGGAATCAGTTTTTATGATACGACATATTTTTACCTACAGTTATCTTAACGACCACTGTTGGTTACTGACAAGAAAATCTGACTACAAACTTTCTGCTTTTAAAGTACACAAATACACCTTTTTGTACAAAAACCGAATACGAAGTGACAAACATCCAAGGTATAATGATGAATAGTAGCGTTGAAAAAGCGGCGTTTGGTTTGAGTTGTATGCAGAAGAGAGACATGGGCACTGAATTATCCAACCAATATCTGACCTCCCATAGGAAGGGATTCAGCACATCAACTGGTCTTTGGAGAGCAGTCATTATCATTTTTTCTGGTCCTATGCATTAACCTGATTATTTTGACGAAGTTTGTAATTAAGTCACCGAGTAATGAGACTGGCTCACCATCTTGGTGTACTTTGATTGATACTTATTATTCGTTGGTTTCTCCCCCTCTCATTACCTCATACATCCAAACGGCATAATCTTCAATTTCCTACCTTCTTTAGCGTCAATATGATGAATACTTTGCCTATCCGTGTATGGAGTCATTACAATCAAATAATTTTAAAGTATGCTTCTCATTATGTCGATTTCTTGTTTCACTTGGCAAAGCTTTTGGATCAGAAAGTATATCACACTTGGTAGCACCACATTTCAAGCTCAAGTTGATGAAACAAACAGAACATGGAAGTGAGTTTTTCTTGAATTTTAGAGTCGAGTTTTGTCAATATTCTCTAAAGTGAATTTATCTAATATGCTTTGACCGTATATAAAATACCGGTAGTATTTTCGTTGCACAAGTTTACCTGCTTTCAAGTGGTGTATTGGCTGCACTCAAGGGTTTTGGAATCACTTCACATTAGGCCGCTTGAAGTAGGTACTGACTCATGATGAAGATTAACTTGTATGTATTTCAGCTTGAGACAGCAGATAAGGCTTAGTAGCATAAAGATTTTTGAAGAATGCTAAGTAAATTTGTGAAAAGGTTATAGAAGGTAGGAAAATCGACTGGACAATTACCTGCACTTAAGTTCAGCTATGCCATTATGAATACAATAGTTGATAACTCTTGTAACTCTTCATTTCTTTGTGTTGTAAGTAGTAAGCAACTATCAGGTGTCCTAGTCTGATGACGGAACCTCGATAGTCAAACACCAAATAAATGTTAGTAGGATTCTTAGGTACAAGTCATTTTAAATACTTTAGTGACATTTGTCGGAATTTTGAAGATAGTATGTCAAAATAATAAATTTCTCTATGAAAAACATAGATATTGGAACTGCATTTCGAAGAATAAGAAAAGAATAAGGTAGAAATCATGCAACTTCAGAATTATTCCAACTACTTCCATTTCACTGTACTCAAACTATGTGATAATTCAATGCCTAAACAAATATTTCTCCGCAGGACCTTTGTGAATGACGTTTCACCTCTATGCTTGTTTGATTAGGCAGACAGATACTTAATGTTAAATTAAGAGGTGTTTTTGGAATTCTGTGGTCATTATTGGGTCTTTTAGGCGTATATTCTTTGATGCCAGGCAGTTAGAGGCAATCAGTAAGATAACCCCAGAACCTAGGTTTCGTGCTTGTTTGCACTTCTCAGCTAGAAGTATATGCAACCACAAAGGAACTGTTTTCTTCTGAAAGATTCTTACCCTCCTCATCCAGTGCACTTGCACTGTGGTACTGGCTCTCTTAGCTTTGTAGCCACACCACAAAATGGCTTGTAGGATTCGGTCAGCACTTCGAACTAGACAATATGAAATCGGTTACTCTTCGGTAACTAGTCAATGTAAACCTATATTCTGGCATATTTGTCTACCTAGTTCTCAACAGGAGAATGGGAATTATATATATATATATATATATATATATATATATATATATATATATATATATATATATATATATATATATATATATATATATATATATAGTTTAAGTTAAGCGAAGGGTACTAGATAAGTCAGTCAATTAAGTTGCTAACCCTCATCGAATAAGGTTTCTTGCGTATGTGTTGTTCATAACGAGCCACCTTGAAATTCCATGCAAGCCGAAATTGAACGACGGCTGATAGAGATCAAACCAAGAAGTGGCACCAGCTCATGAAGTCTCTGACTACCGGTCTAAGCCATATCGAAAGAAAGTTGTAAACTGCTGTTAGGGGGTCCTCGAATTGATAGATATCAGTAATTAGACGTCCTTGGTAGCGTAAATGAAGACCGGTGGGGAGTGGTGCAGATGTATTCACTCTTCGATGTCTTCTAAAGCTTGGGCATTTTCGTAGACTCTGATTTTTGAATTCCTCCCCATTCACCTTTGTCTACTCTAATATCAGTATTTTTCTAACCACTTGTTCTTCAAATGCTGCTGTGAAGTGTGTCAACTTGAGCGGATGCACTTTTGTACGTTGATTTTGTGCATATGCCTATCTGTGTACTAACTAAACATAATAATGATGAAGTTATGCTTCACCACTTTTCTTTATTCCTTCTGCTTGTACATTCATATGAAGTTCTGTCACTTTACATCTAATTCACAACAGTTACTGATCACAATCCAAACTTAGTCCTTACATACATTCGATAATTATGATTTATATGTATTTTTGACCTATAGGATTGGTCGTATATATAATTTAATTCAGAGATAATTGTTTATGCTTTTCTATTTACTTTGCTTTTTTGTTTGTTTACCCTCATCAGATTATGAATATGATAATATTTCTATGCAAACTGGACTTTTGGCTGGATATTGTTGTTTACTTACTTCTACACAATCGGTATGAATTGGTTGACTTTGATTTCCTGTCTCCGTTTTTATTTTAATATTTTTGTTTCTTTGGCTTTTTCGTATGAATGTGTATGTATATGACGACTGATAGTGCTGTTCTTCGTATCCATCTCTTAGCCATTTGGGGCCTAGTTCAAATATCGTTCTACGTGTAGTTCAATCGGTCACTTAATATCAAGATGGAACGTGTGAATACTAGGTAGGTGTCCAAATTGTCACACCTTACATCACCATTTTAAGAGATTAGGACATCAAGATGAGAGATAGAGCAATACTATAAGAAAATCCAGTGAAAATTTATAGGAAGTTAAGAAGAGGTAGTAAAGCAATAACAAAATGTTATATGATGGTTAAGACAAAGATAACATGTAAACAAATCTACGCCATTGAGATTAATTTTGTTCCATATCACCTATAATCTCCAACCTCTGATTTCAGTTATCCCAATCCCAACTAGCAAGTCTACATATCTTTACACGACTCAGACCAACAGTCAGAGACTTCATGATTTGAGACCAACTTTTAGTTTTGGCTACTATTGTGCGTCGGGATGCATGGTGACTTGGCATGAGTGACACATGTCCTAGCCATATATGCGTACATCACAATAAGACAGTAGTTGCATCAGTTATCTAGTCATCAGAATGTATGTAGAGTACCATTGTTGAATTGAAGATGATTAACTGATCTCTCTCCACCTGCAGGATCTGTGGTACGAGATTGGTTAAAAAGGGGGATTCGTGATTCTTTCTTTGTCATTTTCAGGTTGAATATTTATTTTTTATTTTTACATTGCACGCAGAGTAGCTATCGTGACTACATGGCCTAGTGGATAGCACTTGAAGCGGTTGGTCCTGGGTTCGCGTTTTAGTGGGAGCAACATTACTCATTGAAGGACAGGAACGTCCAGCTGACAAGTGAGTCCGAAATAGGACGAAATGCACGTCCTGAATCCCGCTGCTAGCCACAACCATATCGATTATAACAATAAACATTCAAGCAATATTGAAGCATCCGCATAAGAGCACATTTGCCAACGGAGGTCGGTCAATTTGATCCACCATAACAGCAGAGGATTACAGGTACGAAAAAATAATTACTTGGTTGTGGCTAGCAGAAGAATCCAGGATGCCCGTTTCGTCCTATTTTGGAGTCGTCAGTTAGATGTACCTCCAAATCAGTGAGTGATGTTGTTCCTACTGAGACTCAAATCTCGTACCTATAGCTTCAAACGCCAAAGCGTTATCCATTAGCCACAACTAAATTATCATAATAAGTATTCAGTCAAAATTGAGGAATCCGCGTAGGAGCCCATTTCCCAACAGAGGTCAAACAGTTCGACCCAGTATAACAACGGAGAATTACAAGTATTTCAACAAATAGTAATTTAAGTAATTGTTAAGATGAATTGATCAGTATGAACTTATATCTAGTTAGTTGGAAGTTGCTGAAATCAAATCTATTGTTGATCAGTATTCAATCCACTCTAAGACCTAGTGTGTGTAGTGAATGCATAACAATATTATTGTTGCACTTTAATTGACCTTTCTAAACTTCTTTTGTTGATAGTTGTTGATACGATCGATCCTTTGACCTTTCATAATGTAATTACTGTTAATATTTATATTTAGTTTACGACTGGATCTCCTAGCTCAGTTATTAAAGTATCAGATTGCTAAGAAGGAGCGATTTTCAGTCAATATAAAAGGTATAGCAAGCAATATGTAGGTTGAAATTTAACGAGTTAATTAGAAATGTGAAAAGTTAGACAGATACAATATTAGGACTGGTGGTGAAAATAAGACATATCAACTAATGAAAACAAGGGATTTAGTGAAGAGAGTCTTGCCAGCGAATTCACTCACTTAGTTATTCAATCGTACTTACATACGATTTTTTGTTGTTGGTGAAAATGTAAAATTTGTTCCATATGTGAGAGCAGTTTGTTAGGCATAACAACAAGGTGCTACATACATGTAAATGCAAATACAATTTTCCTCCTAAAATAATCAAAATGTTTATGAATTTTGAAAAGTAATCAAAAGGTTTAGTAACAGGTAAAGTTAAATTGTGTTAGTTAGATGGAGGTAATCTGCAGGAATCCCTGGACCTAGGTATCGTGCTTTTTGGCACTTTTCAGCAAGACGTATCTGCAACATCTACGGAACTGAAGTTCCGCGTGAGATTTGAACCCGCTTCACTTATTGTTGCAGTCATAGACGTCACCACTGAGGTATTCGGGCTGCGATTGACCTCCTCTAGGACTAGATCAGGTGCATTAATTCGTCACTGGAGGGTAATCAACTTCACATTGTCCAGTCCTGAGTGCTGATCGAATTCTGTCGATCATTTTCCAATATGACCATCACACTAGGGAACTCTGCATTTCGATACCTGTTAATTGGATATTTGTCATGACATAAAAGTGCGGGATTGCTGAGACTAGTGACTACTGATCAGGATGTCATAGGAGTTAACTAAGTTTGAACAGCAGTTTGAGGAACATGACAAAGCATTAACGAATGAGTTGTAACCATTGTGCTTATGAAACGGGAAGTAGTTGATAGTATAATAAAAGTAGGATGGTTTTTTGAGATTTTCTCGTCAGGTTGACACTCAGAAGAGAAGAGAAAAAAAAGCGCAAAGAGAAACTGGACAATGGAATACGACGCAAGATAAACTAGGTGGAGAGACGGATAGCTGCTACCTTAACGTGGTAGTGGAGCTTGCATGTCACAATGACCCAACGAGCTATGCTAGTGGAACACTTGTTCCCTCGAGGTCCTACCATACCAGAAAGGTCTGTTAGATAGTGGTTAGACAAAAAGCAGTTACCGTCGTGGTGTAAATTACTACACTATGATACAGGTCGGAGGGCAAAGTCATACTGCTGCTAGCTGGATGGAGTATGACAGCAGTAAAATGTTTCCCTTGGAAGACCAGCAGTACCATGCTGATGCTGCCTTCTCAGTGGAAGGGGGGAGTGTTAGAAAAGGTCGGCCCCAAAAATAACACACTCCATTATATCTCACTGTCTGCCGGGCCTACAGTGTTGGTTCATTTGTCATTTCTTTCCGACCATCCGGCCCCAGAACAACTAAAGTTCAAACTAATCATATACAAAAGGCTGAGTGTGACAGGCCTCAAGCAGGTGTCCGATGGGCTCTGCAGTCACACAAATCTCTTTCAGGTACCTTGAGAAGAAACAGCCTTCCACGGTGTGGGCAACTGTGAAGTGTGAACCGCCCTCACAAATCTCTCAGCACTCAAGTTTCCTCAGACTGCTATCCATCTCCTCCATCATTATCTTCTAATCTTCCTTCGCGTGTTTCAATTAACGATACTGCATTATCTTCAATTTCTCCTAGCTCTGTAGCCTTCGATAACTATTTGAGTCCACAGAACAGCATCCTTGGTTTCCTTAAACCACGCTCCAAATTACATATTGGAGCCTTCAAGGTCCTCACCCTCCCTCAAATTGGTCAACAGGACTCATTGGCAAAGACTCTAGCAACTCGGGGTATGGATGTGTGGTGTGTTTGTGAGATACACACACACGTAGAGGACTCAAGTGCGATTATTCACCTGACCTCTCTCCGTCACTATGGTGAATCCGCGAAATTGAGCCTTCGAGTTACTGGAGATTCGATAGCTAGCTCTCGTGGTCTTGCAGGTGTAGGCATGGCACTAAGCATTAGGGCAAAAAGTTCACTACTAGACTGGATCCCAGTTGATAGTCGTCTCTGCACTGTGAGGCTGAACGGCACAGTGAGAACCAAAAGGAATGGTGAAACTCACCGTTGTCTCTTTGTAATCTGTGCATACGCACCCACTGAGTGTAGTTTGGATGAAGTGAAGGACGAGTTCTACCGTAAACTGTCTAGCCTCCTCCCGAAAGCCAAACATTCGGATGTGGTGGTTGTTGCAGGTGACTTGAACGGGCATCGCATGTGAGTAGACTGAGTGAGGCAGAAAGGCACTTAGGTGTTACTTTTGGAGTCCCGGCTGAACGAACAGATAACGGTGATCGCCCACTACAGCTGTGCTCAGATAACTGCCTGTTTTTAGCTGGCACAAATTTCAGACATAAAGAAAGTCACTGCCTGACGTGGCGTCCGCCGAGCTCAACTCAGCGATGGTCTCAGATAGACCACATTGCTGTTAGTTATCGCTGGAGAGGATCAGTGGGAGACTGCCTCTCCTTCTGGAGTAGGTGTTTGGATAGCGACCACGCGTTGGTCTGAGCGCATATATGCCTGGGTCTCAATGGAAGTGAGAAGAAGTTAGCAACGAAACCACTACAAGTGCTGCTGGACAATGGAAACATCAAAGCTGTGTTCAGTGAGAAGTTTGCTAGACAGACAGTTATCGGAACAGAAAACTATCACTCATCCAGAAGTAGCTTGGTGCCATCTCCAGTCTGCTGTAAAAGCAGCACTAAAGACCGTAGCCGGCTACGAAATAGTGGCTAAAAATATCCAGTGCATATCAGCAGCTTCTTCCGAACTAGTGGACGCACGTAAACACATTCATGCAGGCTCTGAGTACAATGAAGAGCGAGCGCAACTTAAAAGGAGATTGATAAAACGTCTACGCAACGATCGCTAACAGTGGTGGGCAGCGAAGGTTTACGAGTTGGAAAAGGCAGCGGCGATTGGTAACAGTAGACGGTTATTTAGACTTATCAAGCAAACTGGGGGGAAGGTCAACAACGGTTAGTGAGACCATAGCGGAGAAGGATGGATCTGCGATTCACTCGCAGGGGAGATAACTGGAACGATGGGCAAAACACTTCGAAGAACAGTTTAATTGACCTCCAGCCACCAATGGGTTGCCCGCTATCCAGTCGAATCCTGAATGGAACATTTAGATAGACCCCGAACACTAGGAAAAGTCGAGAAAGCTGTAGGTAACCTGTAAAGAGGAAGGGCAGCAGAACCAGGCGGACTAACTTCCGAGGTATATAAGGACGGTGGTAAGTTGCTCTTAGTCAGGTTAATGGAAGTGTTGACCAGTATATGGGGATCAAATACGATCCCCTCTGATTGGTCTAAATCACTGATTATTCCAGTCCTCAAGAAAGGCGAGAAGTCCTCTTGTGATAACCACAGAGGAATCAGCCTGACCAACATAGTGTCCAAGATCCTAGGCTCTATCATTTTTCGACGCCTGAGTGGAGCTCGGGAACAGCAAGCTCAAGAAAACCAGGCAGGCATTCTTTAGACGCGGCCGCGGGTGTATCCACCGAATATTCACATTGCACCAATAGGTTCTGGAACACAGGCACGCTTACCGACGCCCGACACTAGCTATATTTCTCGACCTGAAGGTGGTGGCATTCGAATCCGTTGATTGAGAAGTCTTATGGCAATATCTCTCACTGAAAGGTGTCCCGAGTAAGTACATCACCTTATTGAAGGCTCTCTAATGGACCACTCGTTGGCGTGTTAGAGCCTATGATGAGATGTCTAGGGAGCTATGCTCATCGAGTGGTGTCCGTCAAGACTGTCCACTGTCTCAATTCTTATTCAATTTTATCATACATGTTCTTATGGAGGTCTCCTTCTCGTCACCAGGTTACACAGAGGTTGACCTAATCACAGGAGAAGGTTCGTTAGACCTGGAATATGCAGATGACATAGTCGTGTTAGGTGAAGACGCTGACGAGATGCAGAGTCTTCTGAACACTTTGAGTGGGAATTTGAGAATGTTTGGAATATGGTTCTCACCACCTAAATGCAAATTGTTGCTCCAGGATTGGTCTTCAACAATGCCCCATTGCGGCTAACAATAGAGAGTGTAGTGATTGAGTGTGTCTACCACTTCACTTACCTGGGAAGTGGGGTCAGCCCTGGTGGCTAACTCAGTGGTCGATGAAATCTCTGCACGGATACAAAGGGCTTGGCTGACTTTGGTCAACTTACGCCATGTATGGCGCTGCCGTGATATCTGATTGTGTATTAAGGGTCGCATGTACTGCACATCATTCCAGTCTGTTTTACTGTATGGCTGTGAAACATGTCCATTGAAGGTGGAAGGCATGAGAGGGCTTGAAGTGTTTGACTACCGTTTCCTTCGTAGTATAGGCCGTATTCCATGGTGTCATCACGTGAGTAGTGCAGAAGTCAGGTGTAGAGTTTTATGGAGAAGAGGTGATTCGGTTGACGAGGTTATGAACCTTGATCGACTGAGACGGTTGGGACACGTATTACGTATGCCTAGTCGCCTATTGCCTCGTCACACAATGTTGGCCGAAGTAGGTCCAGGCTGGAAAAAGGCCTGAGGTGGCCAAACTGAAACATGGCATGAAGCTATGAAGTTGTTGAGTGTTGGTTTGAGCCATGTGGGGCGAAGCAGACTAGGTGGTTGGGGTCGGCGGGACAAGAGGAAGCAGTGGTTGGAGACTCTGGGTGATATGGTTGAGTACCGATGTGAGTGGCGCAGATGTATACACACACTATCCTCATGTTAACGACGCTATACCGAATCTCACCACTTTCCCATTCTTTATTTCTCTCTTTTCGTACTTTATATATTTTCTGACTGAATTTTTTTATCTTCATCTTTCAGTTGACTGCCTTTTTACTTGATGTACTGATATGAAGTGTGGCAACCCAAACCGTTACGCAGCAATTCCCGGTCGTGTGTTGATTTGAATGGATGGATTAGAATGAAAATCATACTTCGTACAGGAAACAAATTGTACGTTCTCACCAACGACAAAAAATCGTATGTAAATACGAATGTACTGCTAAGTGAATGGATTCTCTGTCAAGACCCTCTTCACTGAACCCCTTGTTTTCATTTTCCTATGTCTTTATGAGTGCTTTTCGAAAATCTACTAATATGGAGTTATGTACGTCAGTCAGCCTCTATTGGGATCTCTTAGAAAATATTTAAAGTCTTTTATACTTTGCAATTTTCATCATTTGAAATTCTTTATCTGTTGAAAAACTTACCATTCAGTCGAACCGTTCATTTCGTATACGGAAGCTTACATTATATCTGCTGTACCATCTGTCAGGGGGCTATTAAAGTATTCAGTACAATAATTAACTAGTTGTTCAGTCAATTTGATTATTGTGGAGACATGTCTGAGATGGCTGTCGTTCGATGAACTGATCTTTATTCTTTGCAAAAGGATGATCGAATTTGAAACTGGGTTGAAATGCAATGCAAAAAGCTGTGTTTCAAATTTCTGTTAACTTCTTCTAGTCAAGTTTAATATTTGGTCACTTAAGGTGAGACAGATATGACTGTACGAATGATATCTGGATATCGTTCTTATTGTATGTAGCTGAATTGGATGGTGAGGTACTCCAATCGTTCGACTCATATAATTTTACCATATAGTTGTGAATAAAATGGTTGTGGAATGTGTTTAATCATTTTCTATCAAAAGTGGTTGATGAATATTTTAAAATGCCTAGATGCGTAAATATACGATGGGTGGGCAGACAGTTCTACAAACCAATGTAGAGTAGACCACAGTAGTGTGTCAATCCAAGTTTCCATACTTTAAAACAAAATAAAAGGAAGAAAGGTACGGAAAACGTGATGGTAAGGTAGGTAAATGTGCTTGAGAGGAGAGAGCGTAAGTTGATGGATATTAGTAAAACTGCTTCAAACCGAGAGTGTACACAGCTGTCCTATTGTGATTGATTTTCAACCATGTCTCCAAGAATCTTCAACCATTGATTCCTATTATTTTGAGAACATTAGCCTACTAGTCTATACATCTCTGCACGCCTCAAACCAACAGTCAGATACTTCATGGATTGGTGCCATTTCTGTGTTTGGCCTCCCTTAACCTTTTTCTAACGCAATCTTATTTCAGCTAACATTCCACGTTCAGGTAGAAGATGCCTTGGCATGATCCGATACGTGAACAATCTGTCTCAGTCTCTGAATGTTCACAGCGTTATCGACCTACCTGTTTCCTTGCTTAATATTCCATGTCTAACGTTGACATGAGTGGTCAAAAACCTGTGACCTCTTCATACCTCCTACTCTTAACAGTTATGTCTTGCAGCCGCATAATAGGTTAGAGTGAACTACAACACAGTTAACTCGTCCTTTTGTAGGTAACAAGATATCTCCCCGTTAGCAAATGATAATTGCGCCTTCTGTATCCAAGCTGAGATTGACGAAACAGTAGCTGTGTTTCAAGAGTGCTGTCACCATCCCGAACAAACGGAATTAGATTGAACCTCTTTTACCAAACAAGAAAAGCTTATTCTGGTAACAGCGTTAGCTGTAAAATGAAAACTTTAAGAAACATTTCAGTTAAGAGTTTGATATCCAAAAAGATTTATCGAGAAGCGCTCTAGCTTATATTTTTTTAAAACACAACTGTCCTCACAATCACAATGTTTGCCAAATTACTGGCGAAAAGTACGCATTGAACGGAGGCTAGATAACTCTATGAAGTAAACTGCTAAGTTTATACTGCGGTACTACTAAGAGGCTAATGAGACGAATAGGTGAATACATAGTTTCAGCCATTAACACAACAAACTCTATAGCTATACTTAAATTTTATTGGTAAAGGTGAAACTACATTTTTTTATGGAGAGACAATTTTCCACATGTATACTTTATTGTTTACCCCAAACGTCTGAAGCATTCGAACTTTTTTGTGGAGCTCTGATGCACTAATGGCGATGTCTAACATGATATTGAAACGTTCGCCAACTAAAGCCCTACTTCAAAGAACAACTCGCTGCGAACTTCAAATATTCGTCACAATTTCTGGAGATAAAATGTTCCTGTGTATCTCGATATAACCGGCAATTTCATTACTGACTTTCATAGCCCTGCGTTTTTTCTAAACGAAGAAAATAGTTAGTCTGAAATGAAAATCTTATTTGTTCTCATTGGAAAAGGAGAATAACTTCATTACCTTTGTTACTTTTTTTCTTGTTTACTCTTTAGAAATCAGATTTAGGTCAAGTGAGAATGTTGTTAACAAGTGCTATATTTTTACATGCACGTGAAGGCTTTCCACTTCACTGCATAAAATTGACTATCTGGTGTCTTTGGTAAGCTTGACAATTCATATTATCATTATTATCACTATTATTTATGGTTTATGCGGATTCATTGATTTCAGGGTAGTTTCCATAACGGGTTGACATGATTTGGGGAACTATTGATATCTTGGGAGAAGGCTGGCACTGGACAGCAGTTTCCCTCGCCTTCTAGACTCATAAGTAGTAAAAACTCACAGCCCACGTTGTTCTTGTGTTTTTCAGGTGTAGAAAGAGGAACACAAAAGCTATTACCTGTTGCATTAGAAGTGGTCATCATGACTCAGTGGCCTAGTGGATAACGTTCTGGCTTTCATAGTGATTGGTCCTGTGCTCGAGGTTGATTGTGGACAACATCACTCATTGGGAGGCAAGTACTTCCAGCTGACTAAATGCACATCCTAGGTTCCGTTAGTGGTCACTATCCATCATTACTATCAAACTGAAACTACAGGCGATATCGAGGCATCCGTGCTGGAGCCCATATGTCAATAGGGACCAATCAATTCGGTTTATTCAGCAACTGGGATTTACAAGTAACAACGTAGCAGGTGGAAGGTTGTGGTAAAGCTGTCAGGCATTATGTGAATAACTTACTGGACGATGACTGATGTTATTGATAGGTCCTAACCGTTTACTGAATTCCGTTGACCGAATTTTTTAGCTGTGACAGGATACTACACTGCACCAATAGTCAGTCGTCAATAAATTCTACACATAGGTCTCCTTGTTGTCACTCGTGAACAGAATACGTCTGCAACTTTGAAGGGGATATTGACAAAAATAGCAGAAAAATGATATTTCTCATGAAATAAGTTGGTTTGGTATAACAACCAGTGAAACAATATTATTAACTGAATGATATTTCGAGCAGAATTTGTTGCTATTCCATCTTAGTCTATTTATTAGAAATATCACACAGTGAAACAGCAGCATTTAATGGATAACGTTTTGGAAACAATTTATTGTTCAGATTCATATCAGGTAACTTCACAACTGCTGTGTTACCATACAAGGACGGCACCTCAGAAGCACTAGGAAGAATTCTCGATTAGTCTGGGATTGAAGTGGCATTCAAACCAGCAAACTCGCTTCGAAATAAGCTTTGTAGGTTAAAAGATCCTATCGGTGTAATTGAGCAAAACAATCTGGTTTACCAGATCCCTTGCAATGATTGCGAGGTCAAGTATATAGGTCAAAGCAGTCGATCAGGGTCGATTAGAATAACAGAGCACAAAAACTTAGCTAAATCAATATTAGTAGTTCCTAATAAGATAAGAAATCTAGAAAAAGCTCTTCTATAGCTCTGCATGCGATGACACACAATCACACATTAGGGTGGGATAGGGTGACAGTGTTGAAAACTAACTTAGTTGGGTGGAGGGAGGGAGAGATTGATAACCGAATCTTTGTTTATCGAATCAACACCAAACACATGCAATCGAAATGATGCTGCACCTGTCCCAGATATATGGAAAATTCTACTACCCTTGTCATCACAGAGAAGGAGAGAAAATTAGGAATATATAAAGACTGTCTCGAAGTTGTGGAGTTACCTGATATGAATATGAACAATAAATTGTGTCCAAAACGTTTTCCATTAAATGCTACTGTTTCACTGTATGATATTTCTAATAAACAGACTAAAATGGTATTACACTCGACCACAGTGCCCAATTTTTACTCTGATAAGAATTTATTGCTCATAATCATATCAAGCTGATCCCACACAATGTGATTTTTATCGTTCTGTCGTCTCTTATTCCATGGTTTTAATGGTAATAGTGTAAGTGGGCGTTGCTGATCACGTTGGATATAAGTAGTATATATTGAGAGGGGGCAAAAATCATAAGGAATTACTAGCAATGAGTAAAGATTCTACCCAGAGAAACGCAAGAAACAACGGGGGCGTATTAAGAGCAAATGCGTATTTCGTCATCCCTATCGCATATCGTAGATGTTGGCTTGCTAAAGAAAGGTTCGGTAGTTAATATTGCTTTTCGCCTAGATAATTGGTCTTTAAGGGTTGGTTATTCTTTGAGTAACTTATCTCGCTTGGGTCTATCGTTTTATATTTAGCTAATTTCCTCTGATCTGTTAATTCGAACAATTTCAGTTGGCTGGTCGGACCTGTTTACTTGACCCCCCCCTCTCCTCACCACCACAACCACCGCAGGTTCGAATTTCTAAGGCAACATGCCTTCCCTAAGCATTGCCGACATACCTTGCTGATAAGTTCCAACAAGCATGAAACCTGAGTAGAGCAGAATTTCTTGTTGATGGATCTCTAACAGTCAATTGTAAGCTTTTGTCGTTTTACAGTGTTACTATTGTCGTGAAGGTAACAAATTTTCTTGCTAAGACGCAAAGTTATGAGCAAACATTGTGCTGAAAACTTCGTCCAGTGTATAATACAGTACCACTCTGTGCTATTATATTAAATAGACTAATCCATATTCTACTCTAGCATTCAGGAATGATATTGAATTGAACTGGTGAGAGTTTTCAAACCATTGGCATTATTTGAACATCATTTCCACAGTGCTTATGCTCATGATCTATTTTAAACGATTCCCATAGTTATACGAGGTCTTCAGTTTACCATGAATGGTATTCTTTTTTTTTTGTAATCGAAAAAAGAAAGCTAAACCGACTTGTAAATTAAGCCATAGAAAAACAGTTGAATGACTCGACAAATTACTGTTGCGTCTGCAAAACGTAACGGCCTACCTTTGACCATTTGTCTATCTATTACGACTTCTGGTATCCAGTATGTTTCCATTTAAGTGAAATGTGGCACTCTAGATTAAAAATATTGCAATATTTAGATTCAAATGCGTTTATAATGTGGTATTGCTACGCCCTCTTATGAATCGCTTAGCGATATTAGTTGTTACATCTTCAGGAATTCGCTTCAGAAATTAATTTCAATATCCTATCAGAAATATTGATTTTCTCAGTGAACACACTCAGATATTATTATTATTGGTCTCTTGGGTTCTTAGTGGAACATAGAGCTTCAGTAACACGTCTCCATTTCACTCTCTTCTCTGCAGTCTTTTGAACCTCGCTACACGACTGCCCACAAGCCTTCATTTCTTCCTCACACCATCTCCTCCATATCACCCTCAGACGCCCAACTCGTCGCTTCCCATCTGGGTTCCACTCGAGCGACTGGCCTGGCGCGTGATGTCCCCAGTCGACCTTCTCAGTGTATGTCCAATTGAATCCATCTCCACGTTTTTCTGCGTATTTGTTGGGTAATAGGTTCTTGGTTTGTTCATTACCCAGCCAGAGTTCCTTGAAGCTTATTCTTATTATTCTGGCCATCTGATCCTCAGTATTGAGTGAGCGTAGACGGCATCTGTTGATGAATGTCTGTAGTTTGTTGGAAATGCTTTTGGTGATGCGCCAAGTTTCTGAACCATCACGTAGAAGCATTGACTTGACTGAATTAGTGTTGAGAATCCGGATGTTGTTCACGCTTTATGCTGAGTTGAGTGGAATAAATCTCCACACTGATTTCAGATTAGTGAAAGCCTGTCTTGGTTTTCCGATCTTAGTTTTGACGTCCTCGTCTGTGCCGCCTGTAGTTGGAACGATGCTGCGCAGGTAAGTGCAAGAGACTACTTCCTTTAAGTTTCTCCCATTGATGGTGATTGGAGCTTGTTGTTGTTGATGGTGGCGTTGGTTGGTTATCATCACCACCTCCGTCTTCTCTACGTTCGCTTGAAATCTCGTCTTCGTTGCTTCTTCTGTCAACTCGTTAGTTTTCGCTTGTAGATCTTCAAGTTTGTGCGACAAGACATTAGACATAAATCATCATCGGTGAAATCCAAATCTTCTAGGCTCTTTCATCAGTCCAGCCAGTGTATGCCCATCTTCTTGCTCTTCACGGTTTGCTGCATGATCCAGTCGACCACAGTCGGGAAGATCATGGGTGATAGTAGGCAGCCTTGTCTTACTCCTTTCTTCACTTCAAAGGCGTCACTGAGCTTTCCATTGTGGGTCACTTGGCATATGGCGTCTTCACATAGTTGTTGAATGAGGTTGATAAATATTTGTGGCACTTCATAGTGCTGGAGCAACAGCTAAATTACTTCTCGTTCGACGCTGTCGAAGGTCTTTTCAAAGTCGATGAAGTTGAGGTAGAGAGTTGACTGCCATTCTATACTCTGTTCTATGATGATGGGTAGCTTAGTGTAGCGTGGCAATTTGATCCGCACATGATTTGTTCTTCCCGAAGCCTGCCAGTCAACCTGTTGCAGAGAACATCCTTTAGTCTCTCCAGGATGATGCGGCATAATATTTTGATTGGGGTGAACAGCAGCATGATTCCGCGTCAGTTCTTGCAAAGGCTTAGGTCTCCCTTCTTTGGAAGTTTGACAGGGTAGGCCTTCTTCCAATCAGTTGGCCGGTACCTTTCCTTCCTTGCAAACCTTCTGCAATAATGGCGCGAGTGTGTCCACTGTTGTCTCCGCATCTGTTTTCAGTGCTTCTGGAGGAATTCCATCTGGTCGTGCTGCTCTCCCGAATTTCAGCAGTTTTATGGCATTCCGGACTTCCGCTTTCATCGGAGGGCTTGTGTTTACTGGTAATTCTGCCATTGCTGGTGGTATTTCTGGATGAGTTGCAGGTGTTGGTCGATTCAAGAGGTTTTTGAAGTGGTCAGCCCATCGTTTCCTTTGTTTCTCCTCTTTGGTAACTAGCTTTCCTTCACTATCTCTCATTGGTTTAATGTGTGTTGATCTCTTCCCAGACAGCAAGTAACCTGGTTATTTGATATAGTGTTATCAGGTATCTGTCTCTCCTACCAGCAGCCTGTTCTGCTTCACTTGTCAATGTGTCGTAGAAGTGTCTTTTGTCTTTGCGTGCACTCTTCTTCACTTCTTTGTCCAGTGTAGTGTATTATGGGTTGGTTCATCTTCTGCTTCACCATCTTCCTCTCGCTGCTCTATCAACTTCCATGTGTTCGTCGAGATCCATTTCTTGTCTTGCCTCTTTTTCTTCCTTCCTAATACGTTTATGCAGGTTTCTTTCCACATCTCTTTCAAAGAGTTCCAGTGTTCTTGCACGCAGGTTTCCTCAAGGACGTTGCTTAGTGTCTCGCATTTTCTCCTGACGACTGACTGACTGACGTGAAGATGTCCTTTGTAGTTTTGTGCTTGAGTTCAGTTTGTGTTCTGGGTGTTCAACTTGAACTGTTGTCGATCATCACCAACTTCTTTGAAGTCTTTCAACTTGATTTGGAAGGTAGGTAGGTTCCTTGCAGTAGATAGTGAAGTGAGTGGTGTGAACCTACATCTGCTCCCCTTGTTGATCCAGTAGGCTGCGTCTCCACTTTCTTCACATTGAGATGAAGTCGATCTAGTTTTTAGTGTGTCCTGGTGTCTGATGAAGTGCATGTCGCTTTGTGAATGTCCTTGTGTTTGTACACACTGCCTCGCTTCGAATCACGAAATGGTTGAGTGCGCAGAAGTCTGCAAACAGTTCTCGATTCTCATTGATCATTTCACCGAGTGCTTCTCGACCCATGATGAGTTTTCTTCTTGTGTTGTCCGCTCCCAGTTTGACATTCATGTCACCCCACATATTAGAATGAATTTTGATGTCGCCATCTGTGGTGGAGTCTTGTGTAGTACTGATTGGAGTTGTGTGTAGAATTCCTCTTTCTTCTGTCCATCTGCATTATTTGTAGGTGAGTAGCGTGGCATTGAATGATTGTGACTATGCTTCCTTTTGAGTTGAATCTTGCTGTCTGTCATGATGCTGATCCTGCAGGAGGAGATTGTTTCCCACTGTATGAGAGAGAGAGCCTTGGATGCTGTTGATGACATTATGATAGCCACTTGAGAACTCAGTGTGCTCGTGGTAGTCGTCTGGGTTAGATTATCGGAGTAGATTATTGACTGTGGAGTTAAGAGTTTGGAGAGTCCATTTCCATTCCACCTGGTTTCGCAAATTCCTAGCATTTCTTTTCTATACCTTCTAATCTCTTTTGCGATCTGGGCAGCCTTTCCAGTCAGCTTCAAACATTGTGCGGGTATTCCATGTCCCCATGTTTACTTTTGCTTTCATCGAGAGATAGAAGGCACATCGGGCAATTGGCTTCCCGAAGATTTTCACCAACTGACATCATTTCGTCTCTCCGGTTCCGTGGAGGAGGAGGAGGAAGTTTGTTTAGCGATTGTATTGGTTTTGCGGGGTAGGGTTGCTAGCCGTATGCCTAACCTGCTCTCTTTGCTCGGGCCTAGGACCGATTATTAACTAGTGAACTAGACGAGGTTACATTGAGATATATAAATACGAAAATAAGGAATATCATTCACTGAATGCCAAATTTTCTTTCAAGCCTTATTCTTGTATTCATCACTGACCGATATTATTTGGAGTAACATAGGAAACCTGAGAGCACTTGGAAGGCTGACGTTGCCAGGGATCGAAACCATGACATGCAGGTCACGTGGTCAGTATGTTGCCGTTGGGCCACTGGGTTGGAATCCAGTGATCTATGTTTTCTACTTCTATCAGTTTCTTCAAATTCTCTAATCTTAACTTACTTTGTATGTCTGCAAAAATAAAAAAGCTAAGGTTGTCTAACTGTTACATTTTAACTTTTTAACTGTATAGAGCATAACCTAGGCTTTGGATACATTGAATTCATTGTTTATTATTTACTTTTTTCTGTCTTCCTTTGACTAAAATAGTCTTACAACTAATTGGAGACAACAATTCAAGATATCCTACTGCCAGCAATACGACCTTGTCTAAGTTGTGCTGATAGTTCAGTTCGTCGAGCTGTAGCTAATCTCTTGCATGCATTAATTGAAATTATTCGTTTTATCTCAGGGATGCATATTAACTATAATACCATGACAACAACATCTGCAACACTGCACAATGATGTTTACCAGTCAAATTTACTAGAATTAATATGGCCGTACATCAGTCAAGTAACTAGAGATGATCTTACTGGTCAACGAAAACGGATAACACCGGATCAAGCAGATTGGAGTGTGTTGTGCTGTTCGCTTGGTCCATTGTACAGTTTTCTTATGCTTGTATGTGTACCAATTTTAAATTCAACGCCATTATCTTGTGCGTCTGCTGCCGCCACCGCTGCCGCTGCTTTTCCTGCCACTACGAACACTAGTACTATTGATTCAACTGGAAGTTGTAGAATGGAAAATATTTCTGCTCCTTCTTCAACTAATACTGTTGCTGTTGCTATGGATAATACTCATTTAGTTTCGAAAACAGATGCATCAAATAAAAGTTTACAGAGTGAATTCACGAATTATCGTATTATGGTAAAGAGTTCATGCACATTTTCTGTTATTATAATATATTTCTTTCTATCGATCAGACTATCTGAAGTAACTTCGACGTATATACTACTGAATGCCATAGTAGTTGGATACTATTCACATTGATCTCCATATTTTGCCAACCAGCCGAGAGTGGTCTGCCGGATGAATCCACCCGAGTATACGACTGATGACCTATATATATATATATATATATATATATATATATATATATATACCTCAGGACATCTTTAACGAAGTTACATAAGAATAGTGATAGTGAAATTAAGCCATAGTGCGTAATAGTTTCCACAGCTTTTGTCCGATAAAATATATAAGATGCTTATTTAACGTACATCTGATACAATGGATGTTGAGAGAAAATTTCTGACAGGCACACTTATGGAAAATGGATATCCACTACAGTTTATGAACCGTTGTAGAAAACATCTGGCGAAGAAGGAAATGTTATTTAAAGTACTATACAGAGGGGAAACGAATAGTGTGATATTGAAACAGAGATTAAAATCTGTTATTATTAAAGCATACTAAACAGCTTCGATTATCATTGCTGAAGCAACAAAACACCTACTTTCCCACAAACCTCAACTTCGCATAAATGATCATGTAACACTTTCCTGTGTTAACCGATTCACATGGATGTATGGGCACGTATATGGAGAGCAGTAATCGTGCTATCCAGGCTAGGGTGGGTGAACATGTGCCTTAATGGCTGTAAAAACAGTTTAATACACAAACTGTGATACACACAGGTGACAGACGTCCATCTTATCTATAGCGAAACATTTCATCAAAATAGATCACAAGGTTAGCACGAAAACAGCACTGAAATTTGCTGAAGTGTTAGACATCCGTAGACTTAAGCCCCGCTGTGTGTACAAAAACAATTTGTTGTTTCACTTAATTTACTTAGGTAATACTTATCTGAATATATTACGAAGACTAGTGTCACAACCTTTTCATATTCATTATATTTGATCATTCATTTTCATATATAAATTGATTCGACGAGTGAATGTATGTGATCAGAGCATTCGAAATATATTGCGCAAATACATCATACATTTTTCAGATAATCTTTGTCTTATAACAACGTTATCAAAATTTTTCATTTTTAGATTTTAAGTAGTTTTCAATGAAATTTATTGGATATTCCTTATTCAACAAATTTTTTTGGATATTTATTTAGAACATGATCTGGTTGCCCTTAAACACAAAGTCGTGACCAGATTACCTTTATAATCGATGGAACAAGATCTCATAAATGTTAAATACTGACCTATAGGCTTAAGATAAACTGTATGTGGGATTAGATCATCTTGATTTCTTTTAATACTCAAATACGAAAAAATTATTCCATCAAGCCTTTCATGTTCACATGTGAATTCCACGTTTGAACGAACTTAAGTGAAACGCCTGAGTAGATTCTTTGCCTGGTTTTCCCTCTAATATCTCCATATATCTAGCTGTAAATCAAGAAGATGAAAAGTGTTATTATTATTGCTATTGTTGGTTCCTGTGTCCCTGTAGGACTACGGCTATAGCAGATACGTAAAATGTCTATCTGTGGTTCGAGTCATTTACATGACAAACATGAGTGATTGTCTTTGTTAGGATATTTCGGGACATATTTGTACTGGATGATGACTGAAGGTGAGATGAAAATCTGGACCGCGGCAGGACTCGAACTAGCGGTCATGGGGTTACCGGTCCGGTGCTCTGTCAACTGACCTACGAGGTCCGACTACTGACCAGAATTTTATTCCACTTCAGTCACCAAGGTCAGCTCAGCTGATAGAGCACCAGGCAGGTGACCCGGTGGTCACCGGTTCGAATCCAACTGCGGTCAAGATTCTCATCTCACCTTCAGTCATCACCCAGTACAAATTTGTTGTTTCACTTAATTACCTTGGTAATACTTATCTGATTATATTACGAAGACTAGTGTCACAACCTTTCATATTCATTATATTTGATCATTCATTTTCATATATAAATTGACTCGACAAGTGAATATGTGATCAGCTTGACAGGTATGTCAAAAATCCCCATTGTCAAAATTAGAAAACAGCCTCCGCCGTATGTAATGTGCTAGTGTGAATTGCATTTATATATATATATATATATATATATATATATATATATATATATATATATATATATATATATATATCGAAACGTAACCTTGTGCACATCTGTGCGGTTGGGATTGAGACACACCTACTGTGTAGGGGGCTTATGATACTACTTGGCTGTTCGAAGCTGGGTAGTTGGGGCTAGTTTTGAACTCGTGACCCACTGTTTGAATATAAACTGCCTAAACCAATTAGTTACAGCTCATATATAGTCAGGAGAGGAATCGATAAGAAACTAAATCTGAAAAACTTCTACTATGGTGTATAATGGTTTAAAATTTCGACTTATGTTTTGTCCACTTTCTATCGAAAGGGAACAAATATCCTGCATGACTTAACAAAGTTTTGTAGATATATGAAGGGTAAAAAATGATATAATTGCCAGAAAATGTGAATTGTCATAGGAGTATTCATTCAATAAGCTATAATACTTTTGCCTTACTTTGAAAAGAAAAAACAGGAGACAGAAAATGCACCACGATTGTCACCTGTTTCCATTCTAATAAATTGTTTGCGCAGTGAGTAGTGTGACCTCTAAAATCCTCCATTCCTCTAGATGAGATACATCAGCAGATGTCTACTCCATTAAACTATCATTCATCTCACGGTGCCATATCATGATTAATTCACCTTTTGGATTCTCCCAACATGTAGTCCAGATGAAGAAGAATAAATGACACAGAGCCCATCAGTAGGGTATGCGTGGGGCATGTTCAGTCTAGCGAAATCAGTAATTCAAGACAACTTCATTTATTGAATGACAATATCCAACATATGGTCTAGGCACAGAATTACTAAGATGGTGTCTCTGTTGAACACAGGTAACTCCGCCTAACATCCCTAGTTCGTAGGTGGTCAGGTTTTCAGGTGTGTGGTTAGGCTGAGATCATGAAACTTTATTTCCAATAAGTAATAATTATAATAACTGTAAACAAGTAGTTTTCCAACCTCCAAGTTTCGTTTTAACTGTCGACACTTCTTTCTATCGTCTTTCTTCACATGTGTTGTAAAAAGGCATTCGACTTACTCAGTCAACAATATGATTTAGTCGTTGGTCGAAAAAACTCAAACGAGGTTGATTCAAATGGACAAAATGCAGGAATAGATTATACTATGGATCGATTAATAATCTCACAGCGCCGCTTTTGGATTACATTAGTTAATAACCTGTTAGATTTGACAAATCGTCTTCTACCGACATGTGATGAAACCTTTCAACAAAATAGTAAGTAATATTATATATTGATTATTGATCACATTATCTAAAGTAGTATTAGTTTAATAGGTATAAAAAGATGTGATAAAATTCAAATTTACACAGTCTACGAACTAATGAGACAACCTTTAGGCCTTACAGATTGACGATGTACAAACTAGGCTGAAGTATCCAGTTTCTGGATGCATTTCAATTTCACTTCAATAATTCTGAAGGAATTTCTGTCACATAAAATACCCGTAAATCATTTGTCTAAGTTCACTACACAATTTTCTTCCGTTGCTTAGTATCCAAGCTATCGTATTTTGAATGGTTAAATAGATTAACGTGTTTACTATTGAGTAGTGAGAAGAAAATAATTTCAGGGATACAAGGAGAATTTGTTGCGAGTGTTGAAAAGTATGGGAAAAATTTGTGGTCGAATTATTCCTTAGATTTGCTGTTTGTGTACCGACACAGAATGTAGATCAACCATAGCTTTCTTATTGCATCCAACCTCTTAATACTGTAGACAATATTATTTGAAATCGCATGGCTGACTAACAATATTTCAATTGTTTTTCGTTCAAAGTTACATAGTTACGAGTCTCATCAGAGTTGATAGCAGATGGAGGAGACCTGAAAGCAGAGAACAACCATTGCGTCCCACTTTAAGATTCTTCAGCAGTTCGCACCTACTATTCTTCATAGGATCGAACCGAGAACTTTCAGCTCTCATGGAGAGAAGGTTGCCATTTGAAAGTTGTTCCAAACCCAATGAGCTACTTCTGTTATTTCGCGATATACCGTAACCATCATCCATCATCATCAATGGTGCATCAATCCTCACTCCAACAGTTCACTGCTTCTCATCAGGAAATCTATCTCGAATCAAGTCACTAGAAATATCGAATAGACAAGAATCTGTTTAAATGAACATCTACTTTAGTAGATTACATGCATTAAGGATGTATAGTTAAGCATGGTCTTTTGAAAACTCTAGATCACGGCTTTTTGGTTATGAAGATTCATTTTTAAAATGTAACTATAATCATTTGGAATTTTATGCTCCCGTAAAAAGCTGAGTTCATTTTAAAACAGGAACTAACCAAACAGATGTCGACATTTCAGAACACTGGCCGTCAGTGTCACTTAGCCAATATCAACATGGGAGCTGGCGCTACTGCATAACTGCACAAGTTACCACACCTTATATCACCAAATCAAGCTATAAACCATCATGATGAAAGAAACAGATATATGAAAAAGAAGCGGACAAAAGTGGTGGGAATCCGTGGAAAGGGAACAAGAAGTAATGATGAAATCGGGTATAGCAAAAAAGGTGAAGAGAATATGCGCACGCGTCTGCACCATTGGGATCAGTTCTGTGGTATATTGCCTAGGTTCCCCAATCACCGACTTCGGTTGTCACGTTGATTCTTACGTAGAAATTTATATTTCCGTACACGGCTCAGACTAACAGTCAGAAACTTGATGAACTGATGATACACTTTCATTTGGCTACCTCTAACCTAGATGATGGAATCTTACAAAATGGAGAACGGAACGAAGACAAGCTGTCCAGAATGTAAAAAGAAAGGCAAAAGCAGTTTCCAGAAAATTCCAATGGAAACTAAAGGATGAAATGGGAATTTCTCTAGGCTGGAACTCACGTGAAATGGAGGGCATTACAATGCGCCACAGAAGATGAACCAGGATCATAAAATGTAATCCGCAAAAGGGAAAGGTTGTAAGTAGTCACTAGGAGACGCGACCCGGTTAGTTACGAACACTAGAGACTATAAAAAATTTTTGAACATCAGCCATCTTCAAAAACGGATACTAGTATTGTTATATCTTCCGTCACCAACTGTTATGTCTTCGTCGCCAACTGTTATATATTCCGAATGGATATAATACGTACGCTTAGCTTAGTACGCAAGAGCCACTAACTAAAAACCCAGGATGAATAGAGAGAAGACCGAAGCCGGATGATGGGAAAGTTATTACTCGAGAATATAGTAATCAATCAATCCCGAAACACGTGAATATGTACACGTGAAATGTGACCTAGTCCGCGATTTGAGACATTGGGATTGTATGAGTAAAGACTAACCAATTGCGATTTACACTACAATGGGGCAGAAAATAAACTACTAGTCATACCGTAAAAATGGTACGAGAACGCCAAGTTAAAAATATTCAGATCTATAACAATGTTTTATGCAAAACTAGGACCTCAACAAGTATGAAAAGAGGCGAATTGGAAACTGTACGGAAGAAGGCGATCATCACCGTGATAGAAATAACCTTTTAAAGGAGAGGCGGGATGCACTGAGAGCTACTCATAAGGATGCGAATAATTAGTAAAGATGGCAACGTCGAAAGGGGTAACGATCGACTGAAGAAGATTCCAGCAAAAGAAAACAATATTGGATAGAAGTATAAAGGGCAAGAACAGTGTGAAATAACATACGGAATAAGAGATTGCTTTGCAAATGAATTTCAGATTGTAAGGCTTAGGACTTTTATCATTACTCAGTAAATGATTTCAGCTATTTCGTTGAACTTTTCTTCACGTGTACCACTTAACAATCATTCAGTTTATTGTGATTTCAAAATATTACTAATCTCATACTAAGCTATCGTGTAAACTGGTTAAAAAATCAACCAGAAATTTTCAGATCCCCTAATGATTTCTGGGTAGTACAGGAAATGAAGAAGTCATGAAATCATTGATGCATGTTTCATCTTATCCGGTATTCATCAGTTGGACGTACCTGCATACTAGTGATGGTGATGATGCCTTTTACTATGTGTGACTGGCTTCTCAAATATTTCTCTAAACACTGTAGAGCATTGAAAAATAGACTTGTGAATTATGAGAGTTACCTTCTCTGCAACAGTTTACATATCTTTTCTACTTATTTATATCTATAATTTCGAAATAAAATCTCAAAGCAACATCGAGGCATAGATACAAGGGCCAACGGATTTATCCGTCCAGACCTTTAAAGTAGGCAACGGAAAATAACAAGACGCATCCAGTAAGCGAAAAAACGTATTTTTTAATCTCAGTTAATAAAACCATTCCTCATATTCACTTGACTGGTCTGGTTACATAAAATAGCATTTTAAAATATCTTTTTTATTCTTAATGTATTCGCCAGATATCTTACCGTGGTTATTCAACTTGGCGGAAATGAATAACGCCTTGCCAAGGTTAGATCTACGCATGGAATTGGCTAATCATTTGTTCACTGTGTTCTCAACAGCTGCGTACTGTATCCTTTTTTTGATGCATTTTTATAGACATATTTACAATCGAAGTAGAATTTATTTTCCTGGTTTATTGCTTCTGTTCACTTTTTTGTGACTGAGCAGCTACTGTCTTAAATCTATCCTCCATAAGTGTTATCAATAACCTGCGACTTCATAGTGTTTGAATATCATGGTTACATCCTCCTATGAAAATCTTCTCTTCCCCTTCATTTATCTTCTCTCAGGCAAAAAATGACATCATAATGTATACAATATAATGTGTTGATCTGTTGCACAGCACATAACATTTTCAATCAATAATCTACTCCAAGTCTAAAACTCTACAACTAACTTTTGCGTTACTGACGTCGTGTCACCATGACATGCGAAATGAAAGCTGGTCGAAAACCCGAAACCTTTTCTCTCTTTTCCTTCGTCTACAGGTGGAGGCCGTGCCTGATAGGCATGTAGTATAGGAGAAAGCAGTGAACTACGTCGCGAAAAAAATGACGCTTAGTGGCCAATCAGTCAGTCTGATATGCCGGCGTCGCGAAGCCTGGCGTAGGTCTGCCCAAGCCAAGTATGTCTGTTCTGTGTGAAAAGATTCGATCGGCCTCGGACCCACACCAACCAAAGCTGATTCGACTACCTAGGTCAGGTGTGGTTAGATGAATAATCATGTGTCCCTACCCTCTCAACCTCTCCGTTGCCTGTTGCTAAACAAGGCATCAGTGAACACCGGTGGAGGAGCGACAATTTGCGTGTGGCTAGTGGGAAATGCATGCCAAACATTCCCAAATCGCCTGTCACACAAGCTATCCATAAGACTCTGCACCTTATCAGCATCTTCGATTCACACACTACTGTGACTCTGTCATCTGCCTAGTTTAGTCCAATCTAGGTCTACGAAAGTCTCCTGTGGTAAGCCTCGCCGATAGTCGCTATCTCGACTTGGTAGTCGGGCTTGCCTATCACAATGACCAAACGAGCTGCACTGTCTGGAACGCATGTTCCCTCAAGGTCCTACTATCGTTGAAAGGTTTTCTGGATAGTAGTTAGACATTATAGTGTAAACTGATGCGGTATGCTGTGAGTCTAAGGGCGAAGTTGTACTGCTGGCTGAATAGGATGTGACAGCAGTAAGGTGTTTCCTCTGGATGACCAGCAGTCCCACGTTGATGCTACTTCCCCAGTGGGAAGAGTGGTTTAGTAAAGCTCGGCCTCCAAAATAGCACAGTCTTCCCTACCCCTTACGGTGTTCCAGTGCCGGGGGCATGGGTCGTCTCTATAAGGAGTTCAGAAAATCAATCCTCAAAACAACCAAAGAGTTGTGTGACAGACATCAAGCAGATGTCCCATGGGCTTTGAGGTCACACGAATCTTTTTCTCTCTCAGATATCTTAAAAGTCTTCCGCGGTGTGGGCGACCTGGAAGTTTCGACCGCCCGCATGCCTTCAATAGTACACAAGACCCAATCAAACATAACCAGCCCTCCTCTACTCTGTCTTCCATTTTGCCTGCACCTCCTTATACTAACATCAAGGTACTTACACCTTGACCAACCATTGCCAACGATCAAAACCATTGGAACCTTATTCCCAGTCTCCTAACACCTCACCGTCGATATCGTGGAGCTTTCAACGTCCTAACTCTATACCAAACAGAACGGCAAGCATCACTCATCTTCAACCACAGATGTGTATTGTCTCTGAGACACGTATACATGACCGAAGTGTGGTTATTCATTTCACTGACCTCACCTGGCCATGGTACCGAATCTTCAAAATTCACCTTACGGGTATCCGGAGACCCAGTGAATAGCTCTCGTCGACTCGCTGGTGTAGGGATATTATTGGGCTGTAGAGCAGAAAGTGCACTTCTCGACTGGATACCAGTTAACAGCCGTCCGTGTACTGTTCAAATGAATGGATCTGTAAGAACTAAAAACGACCGAGAGACTAGGCAATCCCTATTCGTAACCTCCGCCTGCGCACCCACCGACTACAGTTCGGATGATGCAAAAGATGAATCCGATGAAAAGCCTTCGATTTTGCCACAGAAAGCAGAACGTTCAGATGTAGTCATAATTGGCAGGTAAATTTAACGGTCGTATAAAGAATCTGACCCAATGGGAAAAGCATGTTGGAGGTATCTACGGAATACCATGTCAACGAACCGACAATGGTGATCGTCTGTTGCAATTTTGTCTTGACAGCCACTTGTTTCTGTCCAGAACTAACATCATCAAGCATAAAGAGAAACACTGAGCCAGCTATCTTAAGTAGTGGAATTTGTCAGCCAATTCACTTACTTGAGAATTCGCATCAGCCCGAACAGACTGGTTTCTGACGAAATATCACCTCGGGTACAGAACACCCGTCCAACATTTGCCAATCTGCATCAACTATGAGGCCGAATCGCAAGATACCCGACCATCTATCAAAGAAACGAGTACACTGCTCTGCAGTCCGTTCTGTCCTGTTTTAAAGCTGTGAGGCATTGGTGTTAAAAGTAGGAGACATGAGGCGGTTACACAGTTTTGATCCCAGGTGTCTTCATTGCATTTCTTGCGTTTGGTGGAATCACCTTGTGAGCAATGCTGGGATCATGCGAAGGGTGCTAGGCAAGTCCACTGATGAGGTTGTCAACCTTAGTCGACTGAAGTGTTTTGGATATGTACTGAGCATACATGGCACCGTCTACCCCGACGTGCAATGTTAGGGAAGCTGGATTAGGTTTGAAGAGGGTTCAGGGTGGCCATACCAAAACGTGGCAACAGACGATTAAGTCCCTGACTGTTGGTGTGAGCCGGATGTGGAGATGTAGACTGTCCGGTTAGGGTCTTCTTGACGATAGGAATTAACGGTTGAGGAAGCTTGGTGATATGACTGAAAACCGGTCACAATAGTGCAGATGTATTCACTCCTTGATATCTTCTAAAGCTTGAATATTCGTACTGACCGCTATCTTCAGATTGTTTATTCTCTCACACTACTTTATCTTCTTTGATATCACTCTTTTTCTATCCACCTGTTCTTTGTATACTACTGTGAAGTGTGGGAGCGTAAACCGAAGTACTTGTGTGGCAGGTTTTACGTTAATTTTGTCAGGTAGTCAGTCTTTTGACAAGCCTATTCCTGGTGATGAAGTCAAAAGCGCAGAGAGAGAGACCTTCATATGCACGTCTATCACAAATTCAATAAGAGTGAAGGATCTGGGTGTATATCTTAATGTTCCTGAAATATTCGATTAATGTTTAAGTCAACAGAAGTCTGTTGCGATGCGAAACGCAAACACACTTATCAACTTTGTGCACATTCGAGCAGTTGGCAATGAGTCACACCTATTGTGTGAGGATAAGTGATACGACCTGGCTGCTCAAACCTTGACAGATGGAGCGGGTCTCGAACGCTTAACCCTCTTATTGATAATCATCTCCCTAAGCCACTGAACTGCAGCTCCAATCGTAGCGGTATAATAATAGCAATTCATAATTTTATTTGATACAGCTTTACCAGTTATTCCTTATTTGCTACCAACCTTAATTCAGTTTATTGTTATAACATGATATGATATGTCGGCCAAATAATCTACTTCTATTATGTAAGCTGTACAAAATGAGCAAAGTATTCTTCAGTGGTTAGTACCAGGTTTAGACCGTATACGCTTAGATTTGATTGAGTGTGGAGATAATCGTCGTGTTCGTGAAGTAGAACAATTCCTAACTGATTTATATTCTAGTCTTCGCTTAAATGACCAAGGACGTCCAATATGGTGGGTTGTTTACTATTACCTATACTACTAATCTGTAAACCTAGTAGTATTTAATTTATTTTTTCACAGAATGTATGATTTATGTCCACCAAATATTCGTTATTTTAAAATGGCTTGATATGGTAGTAATTATGTAAAGGCTAATTTGTGAATCTTATACCGGTGAATAAGCTAGTGTAACTTTGATTGACGTAATGACCGCAAATATACTTTTAACAATGTCATGTGATTCTGATTTTGGATAGGACTCATTCTCTGAAAGTAACTTCACTTGTCTATGCTTTTCTTATGCCTATGAGTTATCTTTAAACTGCCGAAAAAAGGAGACCTCAGTGTTTGCAAGAACTGGCTCGGAATCACTCTCCTGTCCACCCCAAGTAAAATATTAAGCCGCATCATCCTGGAGAGGCTAAAGGATGCGCTGGATTCAAAACTACGACCGGAACAGGCAGGCTTCAGGAAGTACAAATCATGTGCAGACCAAATTGCTACACTTCGCATCATCACAGAAGGGAGTATAGAATGGCAGTCAACTCTCTACCTCAACTTTATCGACTTTGAGAAGGCCTTTGACAGCGTCGACCGACAAGTAATTTGGAAACTGCTTCACTACTACGGAGTACCGCAAACCTTTATCAGCCTCATTCAACAACTATATGAAGATGCCACATGCCAGCCAAGTAATTCACAATGGGAAGCTCAGTGATGATTTTGAAGTGAAGACAGGAGTGAAACAAAGTTGCCTACTATCCCCCATGATATTCCTGATTGTGGTGAACTGGACTGGATCATGCAGCAAACGGTGGGCAGCGAGAAGAGGGGGATACGCTGGACTGCGGAAAAGAACCTAGAAGACTTGGATTTCGCCAGCGATGACTTGTGCCTGATGTCACATAAACTTGAAGATCTGCAGGCAAAAACTAACAAGTTGATAGAAGAGGCAGCGAAGACGGGACTTCAGGTGAATATAGAGAAGACAGAGGTGATGAAGATACCGCACCACCACCATCAACAACAACAACAAACTCCAGTCACCATCAATGGGAGAAACTTGAAGGAAGTAACCTCCTTCACCTAACTAGGAAGCACTGTTTCAACTACAGGCGGGACAGACGAGGATGTCAAAGTCAGAATCGGAAAAAGCAAGACAGGCGTTCATTAGCCTGAAACCAGTGTGGAGATCTTTTGCACTCCTCTCAGCATGTAGAACAACATCCGGATTTTCAACACCAAAATCAAGTCAGTGCTTCTGTATGGTTCAGAGACTTGGCGCGTCACGAAAGGGATTTCCAATAAACTACAGACATTCATCAATAACTGCTTACGCTCGCTACTGAAGATCAGATGGCCAGAAAAAATAAGCAACAAGGAACTCTGGGAACGAACCAACCAAGAACCTATCACCCAACAAATATGCAGGAGGAAGTGGAGATGGATTGGCCATGCACTGAGAAGGCCGACTGAAGACATCACGGGTCAGGCCAGTTGCTCGAGTGGAATCCCGATGGGAAGCGACGAGTTGGACGTCCGAGGGTGACATGGAGGAGGTCGTGCGAGGAGAAAATGAGAGGTTGTGGGCTGTCGTAAAAGCAGGTTCAAAAGATCTTCGAGAACAGAGGTCACTGGAGACGTGCTACTGAAGCCCTATGTTCCACTAGGAACCCAAGGGACTAATAATAAAATAATAATGAGTTGTCTTCTGGTGTGAGCAGAAGACGAGGATATGAATGATTTTTTAAGGCCACTCTTTCAACTACTGAGATAACCCATCATGTTTCTTCATTTTAAAAATAGCTACCTTCCCAGTCGAAATATAGAAAACTGATTGGCCATTTCGGCAGTTGATTGATTCGAATCCCTCCGTGACCCACGTATTCATTTCACTGGCACAATCATCATCTTGTATATCAATAAATACAACAGTTGATCAAAATTTACATCTTTTATTTCTTTGCTCCATTTTACCGCTGAATATCATGGTAATTTTACTGATTTCTACGCTCTGGTTTTTCTTCTCTTTGTTTCTCTCTCTTTACATCTAACATTATTTTCTGTTATTCTGAGTGTTATTTCATAAAGAATCGAATTTCATATGCTTTTAAATGAGTAATCGTGGTCAATTTTATCTGGTTGATTTATCCATCTCATTGATGTAGGTAAGACTTGTTTCACTCCCGGTCATTTTATTGCCTCTCACTTCATGCGGCTGGGGTATCAGTGTTGAGTTAACGGTTAGTATTTGTATTCAAGTTAGATCAATGTCCGCATATTTATTTTGAGCAATCAGTGTATATATTCCATTTTTAGTTAATTTGGTAGATGTATCACACAGTGGGATAGTGCTTCCAAGTGGTATCAATTCTCCATTTATTCCCTCTAGTTGACAAATTTGTTAGCGTTCACTTCAATTTCAGAAGCCCTGATATCTTAACCTACTGATTGAGTAGATCTGTCTGAAAAAAACACTTACTGCAGTGAAACCATTATTACTGACTCATTGAAGCGAGGATAGGCTACTAACGATGGCCACTTCAATGTGTATTTACGAGTTCAACTACTACTCTGGAGCTAGTTACGTAGAATGCGCTCGTGAACATGTACCAGTTTGGTTAGGGAAAGGATTGAACAAGTGCATCAATAGTGTAATCCGTTCACATAGTGGACATCAAACCAAGTTACATCATGCCTTCCGTGCGATATGATGTATTCCTTGCCATCTCCTCAAAGGAGCACGACTACGCATAGCTGGAAGCCATAGGCATCAGCACACGAAACCCTGATCTATGTGTTCAGAAGAAATATGTGCTTCCACTTTGTATACTGTGATCCACATACGATCAACACGTTCTCTATGAACTTTCCTACCACATATCCGACATTTTAATCTCCCATCCCTTCTACATTGTATCTCATTACATTGATAAATATTTATTTTCTTATATTACTAGTTTTATTCCCTTGTTTATTCATACCACCACCGGTAGTCATTTTCAACTGTCACGTAACATCAGGTTTGCTATTCTTTATTTCGTTATTGTAGACACGGACTGTAACCTTTCTTATCCAACTTCCGCTCTAGAATATCCACCTAATTCCTCTATATATTGGCAAACTTAGTTCTACATGTTTATTCACTCAATTCGTACGTTTTCAATTACTTCATATCCATGATATCTTTACTTCTACCACACGGATTCGAGAACGCAGACATTTTGTATAAATTAGTGTCAGAATTGTTTAAGGTTGTAGGCAGCTAATGAAGACCCATGAAATAAAATGGATTCATGCTATTCTGCTAAAGCTGTTGTTGCTCTATTTAAATTGGACTGATGTCAGTTAGAGAACCATTCAGAACCAGGAGGACTGGACAGCTATTTCGTCATAGTATGTGACTCCTTCACTGAATCCACGGACCAATGGCTTCAAATACTAGAGCGGTATCCACTAGGCCACCAAGTCACTGTAGCCACCTATTGTGCGACGGGTATAGTTTATATGATGTTGCTTGTACCACCCGTGGTTAATTGGACCGAATTAGTTGGTCTCTGTTGGCACATGGGCTCCTGTGTTGATACCTCGATGTCGCCTGTCATTTCAATTTTTATATAAATGATGGGTGGTGGCTAGCAATGGAATCCAGGACGCACGTCAGCTGGACGTACCTGTACCTCAGTGAATGATGTTCCCACTGAGACTCAAACCCAATACCTATCGCTTCAAAGGTCAAAGCGTTATCCACTAGGTCTCTCGGGCACGATAGTCACCTCTTGTGCAACGGATATCAATTGTTGTTGATACTTGTCCATCCACCCATCCAAATCAGCATAGGACCAGTTGTTACTGCGTAACGGTCCGGGAGGTCACAGCTCATATCAGTACATCAAGTAAGAGATAGTGAAGTGGAAGATGAAGAAAAGAAAATTCAGTCAAAGGAAATATAAAGTACTAAAAGAGAGAAAGGAAGAATGAGAAAATGGTGAGATTCAGTGTAGCGTCGTTAAGATGATAATGTGTGTATACATCTGCGCCACTGACATCGGTTCTCAGGTATATCACCTGGAGTCTCCAACCACTGGTTTCTCTTGTCCCGTGGACTCCAACAGGCTATTGATACTTGTAATTTCCCGTTGCTATACCGGGCTGAATTGCTCGATCTCTGTTGGCAGATTGGCTGCTATACGGATGCCCTGACATTGCCTGAATATTTATTTATTATAATTTACCTAGTTATGGCTAGCAGTGGAATCCAATGGGAATAAAATCACTCACTGAGATGCAGGTACATCCAGCTGACGAGTCTCAAACAGCACGAAACGCACATCCTGCATTCCACTGCTCTTCGCAACTAACGACAAATAAATATTCAGGCAATATCGAGGAACCCATATGCCGACAGAGCTGATCAATTCAATCCAGCATAACAACAGGGAGTTACAAGTATATCAACGAATAGTGATAATCCATTGTTTGGTAGACTGGTAGTTTTTTTGAAGTTCTGCTTCTTTTTGTTCTCCTCAATTTTTCCTTTTTGTATACTTAATTTAACTGCAGTGCATTTAATTCATCGGTTAAGGATACAAACAACAGTGTTCGCTCTAGTGTATCAACACGCTGGAGTAAACTGACCTCATTCAATAGCTCGAATACTAGTACGATGAACAGTAGTGGTGGCGGAAACGGCACTACTGGAGGCAGTAATAATAATACTGCTGCTTCTACTACTATTACTGCTACAATTACTACTACTACTACCACTAATATCAGCACTCCTACCACCTTGGATCACAGCTGTAATTCTCCACCGCAAGTTGAAGCGAAGAAATCACAATCACGAACAAAAAATTCACGTTTTACTTTTCGTAAGCACTAGTGATGTAACATAGTGAGTTGTGTGTACATCTATTTGCTTCTTAAAAATATTATTTTTGTTCCTTTACCTTTCCCACCGTTTCCTACTCCCATTTTATCCGCTTAGTGATTATTATTGTTATTATTGATTATTACTATCGTAAAGTGCTTTCCAAAATCTCTTCTGTACAGAAGACAAAACTTTTTACTTTTTTGAAAAAAAATTAAAGTTGCCCTAGTTTTTCGGATTTTTGTACAACTCTTTTTAATGTAGAGCAGTGGAAAGAATCACCCTAATTCAGTAATCTACTTAGTAATAAAACTTTGTTTTACTGGATAAAGCGGGTTACAACACTCCATATTTTAGACTATTTCTCTTCGAAATGAACGTCTATTCCAAAATCAAAGGTGATGATGAGTTGATCGTTGAAAAAGCCGAAACACCACTGTCGGTCATCATTTCGGTCTCTAAATGCGTTGTTGTTCCATTAGTAGACTAATTCCTTCCTTTGAAGAGAAGAAGGTATATCTTTACTAGCTAGCATAATACACGTATGTGTGTGCGTGCTTGCGTCTCACTAGTCCTCTACAAACATATCTTGGTGACATCCACATATCCACTTTTTGCTTTGTTTTGATCAAAGGTGCTTGTGATTATCACAATAGTCTGTTTATTCTTTGTATAAATTGCATTTCCTGTTCCTTAGTTGCTTTTTTTCTTGCTCTTTGTCAAACCTTTCAATGATCAGTTATTTTGATTGATGATGACTGTATGTTGATCATCTCCTTTTCAAAAAAACGTATTGATTATTTTTTTAATTTGTCTTCGATTCCTATGGGAAAAAAACAGTGAAGGATAACAATTATGCTTTATTATTTGTGATAAATAATAATAATTCTATCACTTAATTTTTTTAAAATTTCTTCCAATATTTTTGATTGATGTCGAATTATTATTTTTTGTATGCGTCGCTATTATCCGTGTGTACATATCATCATAAAAAGGAAATAAATGAGTGAATATGTTTACGTTTTTACTCTTGTGAAACGTAGGGGGACAGCAATAATTTGAAGTCACTCAGTGGAAGTGATGCAGATGAGCCTCAGAAAACCGATGCAGCGACTATAAAAGCAACCCTAGCAACTACTGAAGTAGCTAATTAAAGTTCTATATTTTAAGGAAAACTGTATATCCAGTAGAAACCTAACTGGTCAATGCAGCCTTTGCTAGGATGGTCTCTAAAGTCACGAGACCAGTGGTATGCCGGAGAGTTTGCCTGATTTACGGCATTATTTTTTTCAGAAAAATCCAAGATCAATAAGGGAGAGTGATTGTAAAGGCTATTATAGTAACGACTGAAATAACAAATTTTTTTTAAAAAAAAATACCTGACTAAGCGAAACACCGCAACCTGATTGATTATTTCAGTTGTTTGGGTGGCCTTTAAAGTCACTGATAAGGGGTGGTTAGCAGTCTAGCCTGGTTAACCAACGAACAAATCTGATCATATGTCTAAGTCACTTGACCAATAATAAAACGAGCTATTAGTATGCTATTGTCGAAGTGAAGGCATGACTATAAAGACCACCTTAGCAACAATTGAACTGGTCAGTCAGACTGCTTTACTTTATGAAAATCTACTTTGCTACCCGAAATAAAGAAAAGTAATTGGTTATTTAAGTCGTTGGTAGTGTGGTCTTTGAATTCACTCAAGTAGAGTTTTAACACTAATAATGTGACTCTTGAAAATACCATAAATCCACATGAAGCTTATTTGGTGAGTTATTGACTAATTAGTGTCAACGGAGTAGTCGGCACTTTCAGCCGTCTTATTTCTACTAAAATTAAATGAATGGGTGGATTTCATAGTTCTAGGATTTCTTCAACTACAGGTTGACATCAATTTTGTTGTTTGTGGAAATCACTGAACAGCTTTTTATGCGATGAAACAAGAATTCTCCATCCATCAAACTCACTAAATTCTAAGTAGCTTTTTAGGGATGTCATCGATTTGCATAAGACTGTTAAATAATAAGAAACTGTTCTACACTTATTTCTCTACCTTATTTAGTTCTGGTTTATTAAAAATATTTTTTGAAACAATCCCTTTGATGGTGTTATCTGAGAAATGTGATATATTCAAACAACGTGGTCACATATTGACTTGTCAAGGCATTTTATACGAAAGATGAAAATAGGGTGGCGTAAGGCAGAGAAAATTAACGAGGCTATACCGAATCTCACTATTTTGTCACTCCTCTTTCCTTTCTTCTCGTACTTTATATTTCTTTTGACTGCATTCACTTATCTTCATCCTTCACCTCACTACCTTTTACTTGATGTGCTGATATGAGGTGTGGCAACTCGGACCGTTACGCAGTAATGCCTGGTCCTATGTTGATAATGATGATGATGATGGAAAATACAGGAATAATAAGGAGGAAAGATACATTTTCACACCTTCCTTGGCATTAAAATGAGATAAAGATTGCCAAAAGCGGGTTTAAGGACAAATTCCAAACTTAATTGTTTATTTGGTGTATCTCACAGTGACACAGTATAATTTACCTGGTGACGTTCCAAACAGAATTTACTGCTCATATTCATATCAAAGGGGTTTGAACTTTCTCATGGCTAAGGCTTCGATAAATCTAAGTACACTGTCTTGACGGCCCCTATACAATGCTCTAATGTCTATTTTGGGGTTAATCCTGTGACCTGTTTTGATAATGTATTTATTAGTAGAGGACGAAAACTGTCTGCCTTCTGTATTTTTCGGACTATTCAATGTGATTTTTTTCTAATCATTTAGAAATATCCTCCACCACCCTCGTCTTCGTATTTCGATTACTCCTCCCAATTTATGTCTCACCGTACACACATGTAAATTGGTATGGGTATTGGGGTGTGAGGCAATCATCTCTGTAGCAATGGGGTTTATTTTGAAGTACAGATTTCATTTTCTCCATAATATTGAGTTTAGCTGCATAGTATATCTTATTAATAACTGAATAAAGCCTTCGTCTCAAGACCATACTGTTCGATTCCCATTATACGCTGTCTGTCTTCGAGACAATACTGAGGCGTTTTTATAACGATTGATGAACTTCAAAGGATCTGCGTTTGACATGAGTGTCTCTGTTAAAAATTTGATTTCTTCCAGTGTTTGTGTTGTGTAGACACGTTAGGTCCTTTTGAATAAGCATTTTACTAAACCTCATTTTTACTGTATTGGACAGGAACTGTGAAAGTTGAGAAACTGTCCATTCCACGTTTTCTATACACTGATCTTTTCACACATCTTCCCTTCTAGTTAATAATACGTCAAGAAAAGGAAACTGATTATCGTTTTCCGCTTCACACGATAAACTAAGGTGGCTTTGTATGGTGTTAAGTCTATCTAAAAGACTTTTCACATCCTCATGTTTGTTAGATATACATATCATCAGAGGGATTTTATTGATTCAATCCTAAGGTCAAACGTTCCGCATGTGACACAGACATTAACTAACAATGATGCTAAAGGACTACTCATGGTGACTTCATCAACTTCTCGAGAATCACCTTCAGAAATGAAGTGAACCTTAGCGTTGCATAGTAGCTCTTTCAAATATTTTGGGAGGATGAGAAATGAAGGAATATTCAAAGAATATAATCACCAAGAATATCAATGGTTTTGGTTAAAGACACGTCGGTGGATAAGGCGCTTACATCCGACCGATAGCTGCTGTCTTGACGTGATGGTCGGACTTGTATGTCAAGTGACCCAAAGAGCTATGCTGGTAAAACACTTGTTCCCTCGAGGTTCTACCATGCCAAAAGATCTATAGTTAGTGGTAAGATGAAAAGCAGTTACCGTTGTAGTGTAAATTACTACACTATGATGGGGGTGAGTGCAAAATCGTACTACTGCTAGCTGGATGGAGCGTGACAGCAGTAAGGTGTTTTCCTTGGATGAACAGCAGTGCCACGCTGATCCTGTCTTCCCAAATGGAAGGGTAGGTTAGAAAAGATCGAACTCAGAAAAGAATACCCCATTCCCTGGCGGTATGTCTATGCTTGAAACAGGGATTTATTGTCGGATAAAAAGCAAAAAAACCAAAACTGTCAAAAGGCTATGTGACCGCCCTAACGCAGATGTCCCACGGCGTCTGCAGTCAAACACTATCTCTTGTTTTTCAGGTACCTCAAGAAAAACTAATCTTCCACAGTGTGGGCAGCCGAGAAGTATATCGACCACCCACACGCTCCCAGCAGTACACAAGACCCAATCAAAAATAACCAACCCTCCTCTACTCCGTCTTCTCTTTTGCCTTCACATCAAGACTCTTACACCTTGCCCAACCATTGCCAACGATCGAAACCTCATTCCTTGTCTCCTAGCAGAGCAGAAAGTGGTCTCCTCGACTAGTTTTCCAGCAAACAGTCGTCTCTGAGCTATTAGACTGAGTAGATCTGTAAGGGTTAGGAAGGATCGTGAGACTAGGCAATGCCTATTCGTAACCTCCGCCTGCGCACCCACCGACTACAGTTCGGATGATGCAAAAGATGAATCCGATGAAAAGCCTTCGATTTTGCCACAGAAAGCAGAACGTTCAGATGTAGTCATAATTGGCAGGTAAATTTAACGGTCGTATAGAGAATCTGACCCAATGGGAAAAGCATGTTGGAGGTATCTACGGTATACCATGTCAACGAACCGACAATGGTGATCGTCTGTTGCAATTTTGTCTTGACAGCCACTTGTTTCTGTCCAGAACTAACATCATCAAGCATAAAGAGAGACACTGTAACATGCCGTCCGTCAACATCTAACCAACGATGGACACAGATAGACCACATTGCTATAAGCCAGCCATCGACGGAGGATTGCCACTCTTTCTGAAGTACCTGTTTGGACTGCGGTCATTCGTTAGCACGGGTTCGTGTATATCTGCGCTTCACTGGTTGCTCATACTGAGGAAACCTTGTGTGGTATTAGGAGTGTTGTAAAAACAGCGGTAGAGACAGTTGGTAGCATA